CATCGGTCTACAGACTCTTGCTAGGAGATCCATGAATAAAGTCTAGTATAGCTGCTGTAAGTGAGATTCAGCTCGACATGCTTGCTCCATCTTTGCCTACCACTATATAGTATTGGATAGTCCATCGACTTTGGTGTGAGCACTTAGGATATAGGCATCAAGCAAGCCAGCAAAGTATCCTAAGACGCTCATAATATGAGATAGCAAACCAATCGGTCTACAGACTCTTGCTAGGAGATCCATGAATAAAGTCTAGTATAGCTGCTGTAAGTGAGATTCAGCCCGACATGCTTGCTCCATCTTTGCCTACCACTATATAGTATTGGATAGTCCATCGACTTTGGTGTGAGCACTTAGGATATAGGCATCAAGCAAGCCAGCAAAGTATCCTAAGACGCTCATAATATGAGATAGCAAACCAATCGGTCTACAGACTCTTGCTAGGAGATCCATGAATAAAGTCTAGTATAGCTGCTGTAAGTGAGATTCAGCCCGACATGCTTGCTCCATCTTTGCCTACCACTATATAGTATTGGATAGTCCATCGATTTTGGTGTGAGCACTTAGGATATGGGCATCAAGCAAGCCACCAAAAGTATCCTACGACGCTCATAAAATGAGATGGCAAACCAATCGGTCTACAGACTCTTGCTAGGAGATCCATGAATAAAGTCTAATATAGCATATTAAGCCATTTACCGCAAGGTAAACTACGCCCCATAAGCCCTATCGGATCCATTCAATAGACTCAGCACCAGCTCTCGTTCTAGCACCCACCCTATCGTCACTATCGTCATCAGTAGGCAGACGCAAGGTTGCCAATCCAGTTGAAAGGGTTGCACCCAAATTGATCGCTTGCAGCATTGTTAGCTACGTTAAGAAAGCTCCATTTCTCCTTCCATTGCCATGATATAGATGTTATTGAAGGCTAATCTGCATGGCAAAGCTATCGTTATTCCATTAAGAGTGTTATTGCATCGATATTCCATTTAACGCTGAGTTGAATTCGACCCAATCAATTTCAATTGCATTCATGGCGGACCAACCTCAAGCTGCTGATGAAACCCCTAGCAAATATGGCAGGAAAGCTTGTGCTGGATTAAGACAAGAGTTAATCGATTGTTTATTGGCTAGTGATTGTGTGCAAAAGGTAAACTTGATCTTCTTCATCTCTAGTGCTAGA